TGAGGGAGCCCCCGTTACATGTATGGAGAAGGATTCATACTCCAATAAAGGATGGAAGCGGTAGCCACATACCAGGATTCGGTCTTCATTATACCAAGCCATTGGACTTGAAGATAGGTGATCACGTAAATAGTATGCGCTTCGAGGTAGCCGATATCACTGATACTAGAGTTGATGGCTATCTTCTAATGTTATGGTTAAAGGATCATAACCCTAGCATAGATTGGAAAGTAGGATCACTGACCTGATGCTCACATTTTGGTAAGGTAAATTATCTGACAAAGAAGAGGCAGTTAGTTTATATGACAAATGAAGAACTATTGGCCGAAGATCCCCAGAATGTATATTTTCTAGAAATAGTACAGTTCATGGATAATACAGGAAAAGATATTACAGTTCAACTTCTACTAGGGTATAAGGACTTCGGTGACATTTTTAGTCAAGAGAGAATAAATACACTACCAGAACATATAAAGTACAATTATAGAATTGATTTAATCCTCGGAAGTACACCTTCATTTGGGCCTATCTATCCAATATCGGAAAAGGAGCAAAAAGTGCTCTGTGAGTTCATAAATGAGATGTTATAAACAAGGAAGCTAGAAAGATCTACTTCCTCATCCTCGGTTCCTATACTTTTTGTACCAAAACCTGATGGTACTCTAAGATTGGTAATAGAATACTGTAGACTAAATAAGATTACGGTGAAGAATAGATATCCTATCTTGCTGATGAATGAATTACAAGGAAGACTCTCAAAAGCTACGGTATATAGCTTGATGGATCTAAAGAATGGGAATTGCGGAATCTGAACGGCTGAAAAGGCTAAAGGAAATACTCACTCGCTTGAGGAACTCACAGCCTTTTGCAGTGAAATGGAATTACATTATTTTAAGGTGATGCCCTTTGTGCTATATAATGCCCCCACCACCTTCCAGAGTATGATAAATGACATATTTCGAGATATGCTGGGTGAAGGAGTTGTCGCCTCTATGGATGACATCCTGATTTACTCTGAGACAATAGAGGAACATGTTTTTCTAGTCAGGTGAGTAATGGAAAGGTGTAACAACCTGATGTTATAGAGCTGTAGCAACCTAAGTCTACACCCATACATAAGACCAAGAGGTCATATGGTAGACTAGGCGGGCATGCGAGTGCATGGCTGAGGGATATCTAATGGTTAAGATATCCTAAGGGACAGAAGGTAGTTAAGGAATAGGTGTACCTAAGTAGCGGAAGTAAAGTGACTATGTCTGCTCTGGCCAAAGGATAGGTCAGAGGGCTGGGTAAGTTTACCCTGTCTAAGGACGTCATGTTACCCTACCATGGAGACCAGTTTCGTGTCACTATGGACATACTTACCCTACCTTGAGGACACTATTACCCTACCTTCTGTCGGAAATGATTTTGGAGGAATTTCGGGAAATGTTAGGATTGTTTGTTACGCAATGACCATCGACAGGCACTTGCTTGCACACTGATCGGAAGACTACAGGAAGAGCTATAGTGCTCTGACCAAACTGTAACTTGGCAGGATTATTTCTAACAGGTACCTGCAGCCCCAGTGCTCGCCCCGGGCGTCATGGGCCAAAATGGGTGGAGTTGCTGTCTTACTAGTTAAATGGAGGCTATGAATACATGTCCATAACACTGTATATGTCGCTGCCGTCCATCCGACCCAAAGCTGTGCGCAGGATATATAAGGGGGCCAAGGTAATAAGGTCAGGTACCTTCGCCAAAAAGAACGGAGTAAAAGGGACCAAAAACTGACAGAGTTAGCATGAGCTATCTGGAAGGGTCCACAGAGTGGTCCCAGTTAGTGCTGGAGACATCTGGGAAGGTTTTACACCAATTAAGCCTACATGTGTCCCTTTACCGTAGGCTCTTTGTGGGTTGTTTGAGGACTCTAATAGCATGATACTTATCATGGTGAGTGGTGTGTCAGGGGTAAGGGACCATGGGTAGCACCCACGGGTCCTACTGCTGCCACAGCTTTTTGCGGGAGCACCATAGACCTTCTAAGTTTGAAATCAAGACAGATAGAGCTTAACTGGAAGACAGCTGATGTCTATGGGTACTTGCATAGGTCATAGCACATGGGAAAGGAGTCATTTAGTTAGTTTTCCTAGGCGTTTTGACAGTTAGCCAGTGACCAGACACCGATGCGCAGAAGTTTTCACTCCGGTAGGTGTATTAGTAAACACCTTGTAGGAACTGATATGCATATAGGAGATTTCTGCTAGAGTGTGCAGACACCTTAGGCCCTTCGGGGGCGCGGTAATGGTGCCGAGGCAACCCTTACCCAGAAGGGTATACTCATGTTGGTCAGGGTAATCTGATAGGGGAGCTTTTGGTATAAGTTTGACTACTTAAAGATTATACGATAACTCTCCAAGCCCCACACAATCAACATCCTCTCGAGAGAATTTAATTGAGATAAGCCGGAGCTTAATGATATTAAGTTTTACCGTTTACTTTTATTCTTTACACTTTTGCAAGAGCTTTGTTCGAGAGATCTGAAGTTTGGTGCGGTTGCTGTAACGGGGGCTCCCTCAGTTAGATGGTTCCTAAGGATGCAAGCGCTCCAAAACTTCGAATCTTTCGAACACAGCTCTTGCAAAAGTGTAAAGAATAAAAGTAGATGGTAAAATTTAATATCATTAAGCTCAGGCTTATCTCAATTAAAGTTTCTCAAGCGGATGTTGATTGTGTCGGAGTAGGAGAGTTCTCGTATAATCTTTAAGTAGTCAGACTTATACAAAAAACTCCCCCATCAGGTTACCCCGACCATCATGACTATGCCCTTCTCCGTAAGGGTTGCCTCGGCACCATTACCGTGTCCCTGAAGGGCTAAGGTGTCAGTGCACTGTAGCAGAATTTTCCTATATGCACATCAGTTCCTGCGAGGTGTTTACCAATACACCTGCTGGAGTGAAAACCTCTGCGCATCGGTGTCTCGTCAATGGCTAACTGTTGAGACCCCTAGGAAAGCTAACTAACTGACTCTCTTCCCATGTGCTATGACCTATGCAAGCTCCCGTAGACATCAGCTGTCTCCCGGCTAAGCTCTATCTTTCTTGAATACGAGCTTAGAGGGTCTACGGCGCTCCCACGTTGAGCTGTGTCAGTGGCGAGACCCATGGGCGCTACCCATGGTCCCTTACCCCTGGCACACCACTGAGCATGATAAGTATCATGCTATTAGAGTCTTCAAACAACCACAAAGAGCCTACGGCAAAGGGGCACGTGTAGGCTTGATTGGCATAAAACCTTCCCAGATGTCTCCGGTACTACCCGGGACTACTCTGGGGACTCTTTCGGATAGCTCACACCAACTCTGCCAGTTTTGGTCTGTTTTACTCCGTTCCTTTTGGAGAAGGTACCTGACCTTCTCACCTTCACTCCCTTATATATCCTGCGAACGGCCTCCAGTGGGACAGACGGTAGCGACGTATACAGTGTTATGGACATGTCTTCATGAACTCCATTTAACTACTAAGACGGCAACTCTACCCATTTTGGCCCATGACGCCCGGGGCAAGCCCTGGGGCCGCAGGTACCTGTCAGGAATTATTCTACCAAGTTATAGCTTGTTTGGAGCACTATAGCTCCTCCTATAGCCTTCCGATCAAAGTGCATTTAAGTGCTCGTCGATAGTCATTGCGTTACAAATAATCCGAACATTTCACGACATTCCTCCGAGACCATTTCCGACCGAAGGTAGGGTAATAGTGTCCCGAAGGTAGGGTAAGTATGTCTATGGTGACGCGAAACCAGTCTCCATGGTAGGGTAACGTGACTTTCCTAGACAGGATAAACTTACTCGGCCTTCCGTCCTAACCTCAGGCCAGAGCGGACATAGTCGCTTTACTTCTACTACTTAGGTACACCTATTCCTTAAGTACCTTCTGTCCTTTAGCATATCTAGACCATCAGATATCCCTTGGGCATGCACTTGCATGCCCGCCTAGTCTACCGTGTTACCTCTTGGTATTACGTATGGGTGTAGACTTAGGTTGCCATAGCTGTATAACTTAGGGTCGTTACATCACTCCCCTCTTCTCTAAGGACCGACCCTGTCCGCTAACATCATCTTTTATTTCCCCGATTCGGTTCACCTACAACCCTATGGTCTCTGGGTTTTTGGGGATACCGATGGTGGAAATCTGTCATGGCTTCTAAGCCAGTGCCTTCTAGCATCTCATATGGCTCCCAAGAGTTCTCCTCTGCGCCATAGCCTTCCTATGAAACTAGGTACAGTACGAAGCAATTTGGAAATTTTGCTTTCATGTTTCCGTACCATCGACTGTCTATCACTGCCTCAATAATATAGCTAGGCTCATTGTCTACTATCACGGGGACTGGGACTTCCTTAGTCCTTTTTCCACTTGCGTCCTCCCGATAGGGTTCTAAGAGTCCGCCATTGAATACTGGATGGATTGACCAATGAGCAGGCAATTGGAGTTCATAAGCTCGATTCCCAACTTTATGCTTGACCACAAAGGGTCCAAACATACGGTGGTCCAGCTTCTCCATAGGTCGCTTAGTGCGGATATTCTTTCGATTTAGCATCACGCGATCAGCCTTCTTTGCCCTACCATTCATGACATCTTCCATCGTAACGTATTCTGGCGATGGTACCCGTTTCTGGTCATACCACTTCCGTTGTCTCTCTTGAGCTCACTTAAGCATATCTCGGACTTCTTGCCAGACACCTTCCCAATTCTTTACCAATAGCTCGCTACTGGGATGAATACCTTGTTGCTCCGAGACTGTACCCGACCAGTTGGTCCGTGGGTTAAAGCCATAGTTGATCTCAAACGGAGATAACTTGGTTGATTCGGAGGTAGATGTATTGTATGCATATTCCGCTAAAGGTAGTAGCGATGCCCAATCATCTTGCTGATAGGAACAATAATTTCTTAAGTATTGTTCCAAGGTCTGGTTCACCCTCTCAGTCTGCCTATCAGTCTCAGGGTGGCAAGTGGTCGATAACCGTAGTTTCAGTTGCAACTGTTGCATCAGGCTCATCCAAAACTTGGATGTGAATTGGCTATCTCGATCAGAGATAATAGATTCTGGTAGCCCATGGAGCCGCCAAATTTCCTTCAAGAACATTAAGGCCAAGTCCTTTATTGGAACTTCTGTGGCCAAAGGTATAAAGTGTGCCATTTTCGAGAATCTATCTACGATTACCCAAATTTTGGTATACCCTTCTGATTCCGGTAGTGCTACTATGAAGTCCATTGAGATGTCCGTCCACGGCGTCAATGGCACTCCGACAGGTTCCAACCAGCCAAACTTCTTATGCTTAACGGATTTGTTCCATTGACACGTCACATATGCAAACATAGTCCGTAATGCTCTCATCCATCTTTGGCCAAAAGAAGTTAGCCCTAACCCTGCCTACCATCTTGTATGTCCCAAAGAGTCCCGTAACACGGGAGTCGTATTCGGCTTCCATGATCCTATCCTTCAGCTCTTGACAGTCTGGGATATACCACCTACTCTTGTATAAGAGAAGATCTTTCTCTATAGTAAGATTCTTGTATAGAAGCATAGTTCTTTCTATTGTCAAGTTACAGTCGACATCTTTGTCTCCCGCTAACACAGCCTTTAAGTCCCTCATATAGATGGGATCCTGTTTCGCAGCAGTACGCAATGCATCTAAAAATGTCGATTGCAACCGATAGACTTGACAGGCTGCTAA